ATTATAAATCCTATCTCTTACAATCCTTTCCAACACTTTACCCACAACTGAAGTAAGGCTCACTGGTCTATAATTACCAGGGTTGTCTCTACTCCCCTTCTTGAACAAGGGGACAACATTTGCTAGTCTCCAGTCTTCTGGCACTATTCCTGAAGACAATGACGACATAAAGATCAAAGCCAAAGGCTCTGCAATCTCCTCTCTAGCTTCCCAGAGAATCCTACGATAAATCCCATCCGGCCCAGGGGACTTATCTATTTTCACACCTTCCAGAATTGCTAACACCTCCTCCTTATGAACCTCAATCCCGTCTCGTCTAATCGACTGCATCTCAGTATTCTCCTCAACTACATTGTCTTTTTCCTGTGTGAATACTGACGAAAAATATTCATTTAGCACCTCTCCTATCTCTTCGGACTCCACGCACAACTTCCCACTACTGTCCTTGACCGGCCCCAATCTTACTCTAGTAAGTACATACATGCATATGTACAGACACTAACACACACATACATACAGAAACACAGCACACCCATACAGACTGTGTGCAGTAACTGACACTGCCCTGAGTTTAACCATCTTTAACACAGTTTGTGTCAATCAGATAATTCCCAGTTTTTACTGACGAAATATCAATGGGAAAGTGGGACAGTACTGTGATGTCCCTCGCTCTATTGTCAGGAAAGAGTTGAATGTGTTTAATAAACTCATGATTATTTGTACAACTAACAAACTTCCACTCGTACAACAGATCCATGTAATCCCCTGATGTTCATCTGTGAAATGGATTGATGTTCATTCTCAGAAACTAATTAAAAGTAAACTCCCCGTCATTAATGGTTACTTAGTCCCACTCACACCTTGTGTTAGTCTGTGTGAAAATACTGTGCTCACCTGTGGGAAAAAATTGTGCCCCTGGCTGCAGAAGGTTCTGTTCCTTTGTCTGGATAAAAGTGTTTTATAGCCGGTTTGAAACTGCAGCTTTGTCTCTGTGTGGATTTTAAGTCTGGGGCCAATTTTTGTGTGTGAGAGAAAGTTTGTGTCAGTGTGTGGGGGAGCAAGGAAGGAACAATCAGGAGACATTGGACTCAACTTTTGGGTTGCTGCTTTCTCTAACCCATCCTCCCACGGTCCCCGCCCCCCACCCCACCTCCAGCCTCTAACCTCACGAAGAAGCTTCTTGGTTTGTTCCATATCTGGAGGATGTGTGTTCCAGGCAGAGACAGCTGGGAACTGACTGGATAGCTGGGATTTGGGAGGAGAGAGCAGTTTGAATGACAGAACTTGCGGTTTATAAAACTGGTCTTGGCAGCCATACTTCCTTTCTTCATGTGGATGAAGCCAGGAGGTGGGTGTCAGAGTCATTCTGGTT